CTGTGGGCCTGAGCAGGACTGGAGAAAACTCCAGCTACAGTGCTGTGTCAACAGAGACTGTGTGTGGACAGGAAAACAAGGCTCTCTAGGGTGTTGAAGAGGCTGAATAGGTAACTTTATGTTACACTTTGGGATGTGTGTGCATGTGCATGCGCGCGCGTGTGTATGTGCGTTATTATTATACGTTCTATGTGCACATATATATGCTGTGGATATTGCTCTATATAAATAAAACACTGATGGCCAGTGACCAGGCAGGAAGTAGGTTGCCAGGCAGGAAGTAGGTGGGACAAGGAGAGAGGAGAATTCTGGGAAGCAGAAGGCTGAGGAGGGAGACACTGCAGCCACCGCCAGGACAAGCAGCATGTAAAGACTCTGGTAAGCCACCAGCCACGTGGCAAGGTATAGATTTATAAAAAATGGGTTAATTTAAGATAAAAGAACAGTTAGCAAGAAGCCTGCCACGGCCATACAGTTTATAAGTGATATAAGCGTCTGAGTGATTATTTTATAAGTGGATTGTGGGACTGCGGGGCTTGGGAAACCTGAGGAGAAGCCCTCCAGCAACATATATATGTATGTATGTGTGCTCATATGTGCAGGAAAGGGCCAGAGGAAACCATTAAGCATCCAGTGTTCTATCACTGTCTACCTATTCCCTTAAGACAAGGCCTCTGGATCTCAGCTAAATTGGAGGTCAGCAATCATTCTGTCTCCATCTCCTCTAGCACTGGGGATACAAACATGCAAGCAGGCATGTCCAATGTTTTATGTGGAGGTGGAGGATCTGAATCCATGTCCTCAGGCTTGTGCAACAAATGTTCATACCTCCTAAATCATCTGCCTAGAAATCTGAATCTTTACCCTCTACCTAGCAGAATATAATAGCGCTCACCTTCCTCTACTGAAGAATTACTAGAAGAATCCAAGTAAAACAGATGTTTAAATATGATCTGGAATCCTATAGCACTATGAAAAACAATTAAGGCTTCACTCAGAACAAGAATATCTCAAGTAGGATCAAAAAGGTACAATTGAAAGCTGTTAACACTCAGCTAGGAGAGGTGTAAGAACTATCTAACAGAGACTTCACAAACCACATCATCCAATGACTGCAGTGATTCATTATGAACACACCTGAAAGAAAAATACAGTCTCTGAGAGTTTCCTGCTGCAAGACTACACTTCTCAGCTTCCCTTGTGGACTATGGATGCTACTTGCCAGCTTCCTTTGTGGACTATGGAAATCGTTTTCACCCCTATAGGGAGCCTCATCCCATCTTCCTCTCTAGGCATTTTGGCCTTCCTTACACTCTCTCACTGTAAATAAACACGGTCCCACTTAAGGTCAGGCCAAGCCTCTCTTTCCTCCTCCTCTCTACAGCTATCTCTTAACAATCATATTATGTAACAGTCAGAGCCACTAAGGAGGCTATTTCAGCAATAATCAAGGTAGAGTTGAAAGGTGCTAGGAGAGGTGTAAGAACTATCTAACTTCAGAGATAAGCGAGACCCAAAGACTGGGGAGGTGGCTCAGCAAGTGAAGGTGATTGTTCTGAAAGCTTGACTTCAATCCTTGGAATCCACAAAGGTGAAAGAAAAGAGGCGACTCCCTCACATTGTCTTCTGGCCTCTGCACATGCACGTGCACTGTGGCATGTATGCCCACACACGTAACACCACCACCACCAATAATAATAATAATTTTAAAAAAACCAAATGGAAGTTCAAGAAAAAAATAAAATGAAAGAATGAGAATAATTTAATTGGAAAATGGAACCTTAAAAGTTATTTGATACAGACCAGTGGTTCTCAACCTATGGGTCACAACCCTGTTAAGGGTCAAATGACCCCTTCACAGAGGTCACATATCAGATATTCTGCATATCAGATATTTTTACATTATATAACAATTACTTTTCATTAGAGTAGCAAAATTACAGTTATGAAGTAGCAATGAAAATAATCTTATGTTGTGGTTCACCACAGCATGAGGTATGGTATTAAAGGGTCACAGTGTTAGAAAGGCAGAGAACCAGTGTTCTAGACCAAGGGAGGAGGAAAACCTGTAATCTCAGCACTTAGCTTGTGGCTGCAGGAGAATCAGAAGTTCAGGGTTATCTTCAGCTGCACAGAGTTCCAGGCCAACCCAGACTAGAAGAAATTGCTTCCAGAAACAACACCTAAACATGAAAGAAAGGAGGGAGGGAAGGAAGGAAGGAAGGAGGGAGGGAGGGAGGGAGGGAGGGAGGGAGGGAAGGAAGGAAGGAAGGAAGGGAGGGAGGGCTCAATTTAAACAGCAGAGAGAAAACAACAGAAGACCCCAGCAACAAAAGACCAGAAACTCAGAGATGCCCAAGACTGTAATAAAATACCCAGTGTTCCTTTCCCAGGGCTCTGTATGGAGCAGAGGAAAGGGCAGGCTGAGCATGCTGCTACAATGCCTGGGATCTTAGATGGCAAAACATGTAAAACAACAGATTACCAAAGTAACAAGTTTCACCTGAGTGAATTGAATCGGTCCACAGAGGACACCTAACTAAACCTAAGTAAAGTGCACCAGGCTGGAGAAATGGCTTCAGAGGTCAAGAGCACTTGTTCTTACAAAGGACCAACTTTGTCCCCAGTATCCACATGCACACACACACACACACACACACACACACACACAGGGACACACACAGGGACACACATACATACACAAATATAAAGACAAAATAAAAAAATTAAATCCTGAGAACTAAAAATACATAAAGTAAGTTCCAAGAAACCAGACAACATAACCATCTTCTCTATATGGCCAAAACATTTTGAAAGTCATATTTGTCATTAGAAGTAAATAAATAATAATAAAATAAATCCTATTGTGGGGACCAGAAAGAAGTACAGAATGCTTGTCAAGCTTTGGAGAGAAAGAACCATCTTCCCAGAAGCCAATGTCCTTCAGCAGTGGGAAGGAAAGGAAGGTATTCTTTTATAAAGGAAAGGGAAAAGATTTGTCACCAGTAGATGATATCAGCTAAAGACATTTCTCTGTAGACTCAGATCACAAATAAAGATCCTCAGGGGCTGGAGAGATAACTCCAACTTCTGGGGACTCTCACTGCCTCTGGAGTCACCTGAGTGCGCCTCCCCCGACACACACACATAAATGGTAAGTAAATATTTTTTAAAAAGCAATCTCAGAGTACTAGAGAGAGAGAAAGAGACAGAGAGATCATGGTAAGCAAAAAGGACTTTCTACCTTCCCTGTGCTTTCCAAATTCTGACTGTTGCTTGAGGAAGGACTTACACGCTATTATGCTTACATGCAGTAAATGGTTTCTGTTATAAGTAGAGGAGAAGAAAAGGACAAAAGAGAGATAAGAATCCTATACTTCACCCAAACTTTAAAGTGTAAAATCATGGCACCCCGGAACATGATAATATAATACCCAGAGAACAAGGACTGAAAGAGCTATAAAAAGAAAAACAGGTTTAAAAGAGGGACTATAAAAGTGTTTGGGATGGAAGGAAAAGGAGAGCAGAAATACTAAAGTGAAGAGAACAAATTGAAAGGTTTTTAGAAATGCAAGCACTGGTATATTCATAATTAAATGAAATGAAAATTACTTAAATGAATAAATCAAAAGACATATGGACAGGGTAGATTAAAAGCTGCAACCACATTTTGTAAGTAGGAACTCACTTCAGAGCTGGAGAAAGTACCTTAAGAAGTTGCTGATCTTATAGAGGAGTGGAGTTCAGCACCCACGTTGTGCGGTTCCCAGCTGCTTGTGACTCCAGCTCCAGGGTATTGAGCACCCTTTTCTGCATGCATATCCACACACAGAAACACATAAATTAATTATCTTTCAAAAAAGAACTCACTTCAAATATAACATACTTGCACTAAGAAAGGCTGTAGATGAACAATCTTATTAAATAAGAAACACAGAGACAAATTCAGAGTTAAAAGCCCAAGAGGTCAGAGCAGTAATTAAGAGCTAAGAAACCCTTTCTTACCCTTCACTGCCACTGCTGTCCTACCTCTCTGCAAGAGACCTACTTCCTGTGTGTTTGTCCTTTTTATTGACTTCTATTCTGCCTTCTCATTGGTTGTAAACTCAACCACATGACCTCCTCATCACTGCCCATCTATATAGACTTCCAGGTCTTCTATGGTTGGTATTGAGATTAAAGGCATGTGTCTCCATGCTGGCAGTATCCTTGAACACACAGAGATCTGCCTGTCATGTGATCAGGATTAAGGGTGTGTGCTACCACTGCCAGACTTCTGTTATGGCTTGCTATTAGCTCTGACCCCCAGGCAATTTTATTTATTAACATACAAATAAAATCACATTTCAGTACAAATAAAATATCACCATAAAAGGCACAGAAGACATATCCTGTAAACTTTCATGAAAATGAACGAATGTAAACTTTTAGAACAAAGAAGATCCTCCCACACAGTGAAACAAAATTACATTATGCAAACATCCAGGCTACTGATGCACCTTCCAGGCACTGCAGGTACCCACACCAGCAGCCCCCATCTCTCAAAGTCCCTCTATCCTCAAGACTCTTGATCCCAGGCTTTGCAAACCAAATTCTTATCTGTGTTTGCTTTTATTTCATGAAATAATCTCCTGTGCAAACACTGTCAGTCAAGTCCACATACAGAGGTATCAGATTTCAAATATCCAGCAGCTCAGATGGTGTGCCAATGCCCCTCCCCTTTGTTGTTAGAGAACTCCTGGAAAGACTTGCCGCTCATCATAAAACAGCAAAATTTTTAAGAGTTTTATTTTCATTGTTATTTTGTGTATATGTGTGTGAGTGAATATGTACATGTATGTATGGGTACCCTCAGAGGCCAGAAGAAGGCTCCAGGTCCCCTGAGGCTGAAAGTATAGACAATTGTGAGCTTCCCAACATGGATTCTGGGAACCAAATGTGAGTCCTCTGCCAGGAAGGTTTGTGAGTCGTCTCTTCAACTCCTATAGTATGTCATTCACTTGTTTCTTTTCTCAAATGGACTATAAAATCTTGAAGACAGATAAGTCTTTCATGTTTATTTGTCTAGGTTTTTTTTGTTTGTAGTTACTTTAGATTTTAATGTTTGACAAGTATCTTCAAGGTAAATTGAATATATTTAAATATTTGTAACACTTCTTAAAGAGACATTTAATTACATGTTAGGCAAGAGTATTTATTCTCTATGCTAAATTGTGGAAACTTCATCCAGTACTGGGCTTCCCAGCATTTTTCTTGAAAATATCACTGAAATACTGAATGACAAACAAGACCTCCTGAAATTTGGATAAGGTCATTAGATATAAATGTGAATCAATCAATTCATGTGCTCTGCTCTTGATGAAAATCACATATTTGAGAACCCATCTTTTAATGAACTAAGAACTTTGTGAAGTTCTATATCTTTCAACGAGCAGGGCACAAAAAGTCAAAATCCACATCAGGCATATAAATTAGCAGAAATTTATCCTCAAAAAAGATTGAAACAGAAGGGTCATGTTTCAGAAATCTAATTTCTATCAGATGTGATTTAGCAAGTGAGATAATATTCAGCTCTTTTGAAAGCCAAGCTTAACCCTTCCTGGAAACTGAAGCCCCAAGGAAGGAGAACAACATAGCACACGTCAGCCCAACTTTATAGTCATTGTTTTCCACGGTTTCTATTATTTGTGGCAAAACATGATCAAAATTATATGACTTGGAAGATGCCTGAAAGAAATTACTCATAAACTTTAAAGTGCACATCATGCTGAGTGGCATGATGAAATCCAATACCGTCCTGTTCTTTCCCACCCTGTGTGTAACTAGCCTCTCCCTCTGTACAGTCTATCCAAGGCATATACACAATGCACCTGGGTGAGCCTTAGTGCCTGTCCTGGTTTGCTCCTCTGTTGCTGTGGTAAAACACTGACCAGAAGCAAAATTCAGGGATGTGTTATCTGGCATATAGCTCGTGTCCACCGTCAAAGGAAGCCCAAGCAAGAACCTACAGGCAGGAACTAAAGCAACAGCAAGGGAGAAATGCTGCCTACTGGCTTTTTGAACATGAACTTCCCAACTCATGTTCAGCTACCTTTCCTGTACAGCCCAGACCCACCTGCCCAGAAAAGGCACTGCCCACAGTAGGAAGGAGCATGAGTTACCAATTAAGAAAATACCACAGACATGGTCACAGGGCCAATCTGATCTGGGCACTCCTTCAGTTGAGGGTTCCCCTTGCCAGTTAATTATAGGTTTATTGACACCTGAAGCTCACTAAAATAATGATCCTTGAAAACTTCAGATGGACAGCTGTGGTCAATGATTTGATTTTAATTTGAATATTCATGACTAGCCTCAAATCTCAATGTAGAAGTGGATGCCTTTGAGTGTTTGATCTTCCTCCAAAATGCTGTCATTACAAGCATGCAGCACCACAACCAATTTGTGGGGTGCTGGGGACAGAACCCAGGGCTTTGCACTTGCTAGGCAAGCACTGTACCAATTCAGGAGCATCCAAACTTCACAAGTAACTTCTTCGTTCATTTGTTGACTTTTAAAAAATTAGTGCAACTCGCTAGGTACACACCTGGGGTCCCAGTTTTCTGGAAGCTAGAGATAGAAGAATCTGAATATCGTCTTTGGCTAAATAGCAAGTTCAAGGCCAGCTTGGGCTGAGAGCCTGACTCAAAAAGGAAAGGTCTATAAACCTGGGAATAAAGAAAAGCTAAAAGCTGAAAGAGGACAAGATTTTCTGGGTGGTTTGACAATGTGAAATACCCTTCTTTGCTTTGTCCTTGGTAATATTGCTGAGAAAGAATGAATTAACATGGGACAAAGCCAGCGAAGAATATCAGTGTAGACCAAGGTCGACAGTGTTTGCATTCTTCACGTTGAGAATCCCCATCACCATAGTGCAGGTCTAGACAGTGACTCAAGGTAAGCTGGACCCACGCCTTGCATGGAGTGTATGAGTGCTAGAGGGGGGACCTGCAGCTGAAGGGCCTGTGGGGAGATCCTCACCCCAAAGGGATGACAAACCTAAGGCCCCTGAGCACTGGTGCTCTGTTGTCTGTGTTTTATTTTTTATTTTACACGCTTCTTAGGTTCCCCAGGAGATCTAATTAGAACAGAAGAAGCATAATAAACGTGAAATGTTTCTACAGAAATGCATTTGATTCTACAGAAATTCAGTTTGAGCAGGGCAACTGAAGCAAAAAAAAAAAAAATGTTCCATGTAAGGTGTCAATCATTAGAGAAGGGCAGGAATTGCCTGTTCATTAGGCAGGGGGAGGAGGGGCATCTCCTGATTTGGACCGTTGTGAGAGTGGTTACAAATCAGGTCAAACGGCACTTTAATAATTTGTAATTTAGCAGTTATTTAGGACGGGAAATGATAGGAAAACCTCTGCTTCGTTCAAGCAGTATGAATTTCTTAATGATTTTTTAAAATATTTTTGAGATTAAAATATGATTACATGTTTTCTCCCCTTCCTGTTCCTCCCTTCAGCCCTTTACCCCACTCACCTTGCTCTTTCTCAAATGCCTGCCCTCTGTTCTTTAAACTGCTGTTGATGTTTATGGGGTGGTAAGGGTGCAGATTGCTAAATATGTAAATACGAGCTGTGTAATGTTATTTATGTATGTGTTTTCAGGGCTGATCATTTGGTGTTGGATTACCATTGGGAGCTCTTCTCTGGTAAGCAGCTTTCTCTCACTCTCGGCAGTCCTTAGTTGCCTGTATTCTTGGTTTAGGGATGAGGCCCCATGGCATCTCCCCCTCCGTGTCAGCATGCCTATTGGTGCTGTCCTTGTCCAGGTCTTGTTTATGCAGCCATGTTGCTGAGACTTCATGGATGTAGCTTCTCTGACATTTCTAAGAGAGAAAATTTCTCAGTAAACTTTGTCCCTCTAGCTTTTACAGTCTTTCTGCCCCATCTTGCATTATGATCCTTGAACATTAGGTGCAGGAGTTGTGTCGTAGATGTATCTATTAGAGCTGGGTGCCACGAGGTCACTTGTTCTCTGCATTTTGATTGGTTGTGATTTTCTGTACTGACTTCCATCTTTTGAAGGGAGAAGATATTTCTTTCATCAGGGGTGAGACCTATATTTATCTGTAGGTATAAGGATAAATATTTAGGATGAAGTTAGGAATTACACTGATGTAGTAAAGTGGTAGCTGTAGTTTTCCTCCAAGGTCCATGACTTCACAACCCAGTGTAGGTTTTCAGGATTCCCCTTCTGTGCAGGCCTTACGCTCAATTATAGAGTTGTTAGTTACCACGAAGATATGAATGCCACCATTGCAGCCTTAGGGATATTATGGCACCTTGGTCATTGTTTTAATTCATAGGCATCATGAACTGGATAGAACTCTCTCTCTCTCTCTCTCTCTCTCTCTCTCTCTCTCTCTCTCTCTCTCTCTCTCTGTGTGTGTGTGTGTGTGTACATATGTATGTGCACATGAGTGAAGATTCAGATGCCAGAAGAGGGCGTTGGATCCCCCATGGAGATGGAGTTACAGGCAGTTGTGAGCTGACTCCTGTGAGTTCTGGGAACTGAACTCTGCTCCTCTGCAATAGCAGCACAAGCTCTTAAGCTCCAAACCATCTCCCCAGCCCCCAGAGTGTGATTTTTTAAAGACATTTTCTAACATTTGTTACTAGTCACATTTCACTATGACCACAGTAGTTGACATTTCAGAGTGGTGGAACCCAGCTGCTCAGGAATGCTAATGGAGCAGGCAGATTCGTTTGTTTCAAAATTTACCTGAGTGATCACAGATGAAGGATGCCCTGTTCTTACTACTTTTTTCAAGACTCAGATGGATACTATACAGTTTACAGAGCTAGAACCCTGCAGAACAATATGTATATCATTAGTAGCCAGCCTAAGACATCTGTGAGATGTTTATACATTTTTCAGAGAAAGTAGAATATTTTCACACATTTGCATTCATAAAGGAAGGAAAAAATTTCCAAATGAATAAACATCTTTTGATTGAAAAATCTCTGGTTCTGCTGCTCTGTTCCCCTCATTTTAAAAACCTTTGTTTTGATGCTAGGGTGATTGCTCAATACTTGCTTGGCAAGCATGAAACCTATGTTCCATGCCCAGAACCCACATGAAAAGATTGGCATAGAGGTGTGCACTTCTTTTCTTTTCTTTTCTTTTCTTTTCTTTTCTTTTCTTTTTTTTTGAGACAGGGTTTCTCTGTGTAGCTTTGCGCATTTCCTGGAACTCGCTCTGTAGACCAGGCTGGCCTCAAACTCACAGAGATCTGCCTGCCTCTGCCTCCTGAGTGCTGGGATTAAAGGTGTGCACCACCACCGCCCGGCTGGTGTGCACTTCTTATCCCACCTTTTATTTTGTAACAATAAATATGAAGGTATATTTCACCTTATTCATATTTATATAAGACACATCTTAAGTGCTGATGTAATTTTTGTGTGCATATATATTTCTGAATACCAATATAAATATATAAACTGCTCCAGAATCCTACTTAATATTTTAATAATAATTTTTCTATTGAAGTAAAAAATGAAATATTAGATGTTTTCTCTAACATTTTTATTAGCTATAAAATATCTTGTATTTTATTAGTGAAAACAGAGATATATCAATTCAACTTTAAAAATACATATCTGGGTGGGCAATATGGTATAGAGGGGTAGAGGCACTTGCTGCCAAGCCTTATGACCTGAGTTCAAGCCCTCAGGATGCACATGTGGAAAGAAAGAATTGTCTTTTTCAAGTTGTCCTCTGACCTTCACAGGCAAGCTGTGGCATGTGCATGCCTGCTCAAAGACACACACACACACACACACACACACACACACACACACACACAAAACAAATAGACAGACAGACAGACAGACAGACAGATAGATAGATAGATAGATAGATAGATAGATAGATAGATAGATAGATAGATAGATAGACTGTAATAAAATATACACACATCGAAAGTTGGAGAGGTGGCCGGTGGCTAAGAACATTAGCTGCTATTGCACAGGACCCAGGTTTGGCTGCCAGCAACCTCTTGGCAGCCCACAACTACCTTAAACTCCAATTTCATGGGACTTGACATCCTTTTCTGTCCTCAGTGGGCATCAAAGATGCATTTGGTTCACAGGCATACCTGCAGGCAAAAACAATCGTGCACACAAAATCAAAATTAATAACAACTTAAATATAGATATATGCAAATAAATATATAAAAATAAACACATATGGCAAACATTAGCTAGTCAGGAGAACGTTCTCTGAATCTTTACTCTCTCCTTGTGTGTTTCTGTCTCCCTGTTTTTCCTCACTCTTTGTAGGTGTTACATGCATTCATTGGAATTGCTATTGTCAGTCCATGTTGACACATGTCTCAGTAATTGCAAAGAAAGCTGCATCATTTGCACAGATATATACACACACACATATGCATACATACAATTACATGAATAAGACTTTCTGTCTCATTATAACTATGGCTAAGTTTTTACTTCTCAAAGGCTAGGCATTTTACTATAGGATCCATTTTCTGTTCTAGTCTTTCTTATTCTTTCCAGTTGTTCTATTGCTTCTCTAATCAGTGGTATTTGAACAATGAGTGAGGAAAGAGAAAGGTGAGATTAACATAAATTGATTTTTTCTATTTCTGATAAGGCTTTTTGAGAGTAAAAATGCTGGAAATTGAGACTGTTTTAGTTTTATTTATGTTGCTGTGATAAAATGGCCTGACTAAAAGCAATTCAGGGGACAAAGGGATTCATTTCAGTGCACAGTTGCAGTCTACAATGCATTATTGTGGAATGCCAAGCAGGACACTGAAACAGCTAGCCACATCATGTCTGCAGTCAGGAGCATACAGAAATGGATGCACACACACTCACTTGCTTGCTTACTTGTAGTCAACCAGACTGTGCTACTCTTACGCAGTTCAAAACTTCTTGCTTAGGGAATGGTACCACCCAGAGTGGGCTGGGTCTTCCCTTAACCACTTTAATCAAACAGTTCTCCATTGACATGTCCACAGGTGATCCAATGTAGTTAATCCCTCAATGAGACTCTCTTTTCAGGTAGTTCTAGGCTGTATAAAA